CTGGAGATTCTGGAGAAATTGGTATATTAGATTTTAGCATATGTGTTGTTATTTTAATTTTTTCAATATTTGCAGTTGCTTTGGTTTTTGAAGGTTGATTAATGGATGAAAGAATGGATTCATTACCACTTGTGATTTGTTGAGTAGAGTTGAGAGCTGAAGATTCTGGAGAATTTGGTATATTAGATTTTAGCATATGTGTTGTTGTTTTAATTTTTTCAATATTTGCAGTTGCTTTGGTTTTTTTGAATATTATCTTTGGCAAGTGATGTAACTGGTTTCGCAGTATAATTTTTGGTTAATGGTGGAACAGGTTTTTCATTGGAAGCAGTTGCAGTTAAAGTCTTACTAGGCTCGATTTCCGAGGCAACAGCAGCGTAGGTATTACGTTTGCCAATTCCATGGGCTACAGATGGATTTTTTTCCCGGTATGTGCGTCGCGCTTCGCCCATGCTACAGTAAGTTTCTGTTTTGATTTTTAATATTTCACGCATCTGTACAAACCGTGGGCATTGTTTGTATAACGCTGAGTGTTGATCATTGCAATTTATGTAGAAACTACGGGTACAGCTTTCAGTATGTGGAGGATGACCAGAGTTAGCACAAGATGCAGCATTAGTGCATCTTTTTGCCGTATGACCCAGGCGTTGGCAATTTTTACACCTCATAGGATTTGGGATGTATAGTCCTATTTTACATTTATACCACGCCACATCAACTGTTCGCGGTAATCGATAGCGATCAAAAGTTAAAATAATCCTTCCTGTAGGAGAGCGTGTTTTTCCGTCATCATTCAGTTTGGTGAATTTATATATTTCAGTCACTCCTTGATTGCCCATTTCGCGAACAATTTCATCTTCCTGCACATGCTTTAAGCAAGGGGCATAAATTACGCTTCGAACCGAGTTAAGTTTCTCATGTAGTTTAGCTGAAATAGCACATAGATTACCTAAAGATTTGGCCTTTATGAGCTTTTCGGTTGCGCGCGGGTTCCCAGCGAGGACCAGTAAATTCCCATCGCGTAGAATCGAGATGGAGTCGATGTATGTTGTAATGCTATCTAGAGCTTTTTTTATAGCAAAAGGGCTAATTTGGGAAATTGTTATTCGAGCATCGGTTGAAGAAATAACAATATATTTTTTATCAATAGGGGTTATATCGGTGATTGGCTACACCGGAAAATCCGAATTATTACTTTTTTTTCTTTGGGGGGATGTATCACTTAGTAGATGAAATCTATTCGAGTTTTTGTCTGGCGGCCCCGGGGCCATTATGCCTTATTGTTGTCTATTGCTTATTATTTGTGAAATAACCACTCACTTGAAAAGGTTTGGGAAACTACTGAGTAAAAAGTCAGATGTTTTTAATTTATTTTTTTTTTAATGTATTTAAAGGAAAACACGTACGGTATCCGCGATGAACACTTTTCGCAATAAACACAAAAAGTTCAATAAATTATAATAAGTTTGAAAACTTTTAAAAATGTATAACGCAATAAAGAAATTAAATTTCAAAAATTTTTTCACAAAGAGAAAAATATGACCACAGCGCTTGAACAGAGTTGCCGATGTGTGAAAGAAAATATAAATATAAATTACTTAAGAAACAAAACGAAGTCTCGAATAGTATAAATAATTACTGCAATAATTACTGCAATGATATGCTTTGTGAAATATGCAATGATAACAATAACCACAGAAAAGCACATAAATTAGTTTCAAAGAAGTTCACTTTGTTTAAATATAATTACAAAAAAGGAAAAAAAGAAAATTTTTCGTCTTTTTAAGACAGTATGTCAAGTCAAATTATTAAAAACCTACATTATAACATTTAATCACTAAAAAGAAAAAAAAGGAAGAAAACATAAAAGCAGTGAAACCTGTAACGAGTCTTCTTGGGCAGGGTATACTCAGCCAATCCAGGATTCTTTCGAAGAAAATTTGTATTAAAACAAACTTGGGCCTTCGGTTTTGTTCTTACGTTTCTATTTATTCATTTCTGAGGAGTTTACAATGGATAAGCGATTTTAAGGGGAGTGGGAGGAAAAAACTAACGTGGTGACCCGACTTTTCTGTAGCGTTTTAATATTTCCTATTACGATTATTATTATATTTTCTTTTTCACGTTTCCGTGTCGCGAGTTTTTGTAAAAGAGAAGAACACGCCGAGAGTGTCATAGCAGCCTACCTCGGCCTTTGCTTCCTTACAACCCATCAAACAACAAAAACAGCGGCGAATCCAAGTACACCCGGCATCAACAACATAGCACCGCTTTTGGTTATTGAGACTTGAACTCACCATATACAACATCTTTATCAACTGAAGCAGCAAACCAGCAGGTCATGCATTGGATAATTCTATTTTTTATTTTTATTAAATTTTTCTATTATTAGTATTATCTATACATAATATATAATGCATTCATAAAAAAATATACACTGTATATTGTATTGTATTTATAGTGATAAAAAAATATTACGTGTTGTATTTATAACAAAAAAAAAAAAAAAACATAATGATGAAGGAAAGGAAAAGTGTGAATAATATAATATAAATGATAGAAAAGTGTGCTAGAATTTTTTTTATGAAAGGAAGGGTAAGACAAGGGTAGTGGCCGCTTTCTAACATTGGTAACGTCAAATTCCCCAAACAATTTCAAATATTGAAAAATTCGGTCTTTAACTTATACTTGGTTAAGTGTAGGGAACTAGGCCTCTGCTACAAATCTTAGGAGCCGTTGGTTTTTTTTATAACACCGTGAACTGGACATTTCTGCGTAATATACCTGTATATTTGATCGACATTATGTCTAGGTGCATCTCGTGGTGGACGAAAGAGTTCAAATGTGTTCAAAATTATTAGAGCAGAATTTTTATAAAGTTTTAAAAGAGTGCTTGTCATATTGTTTTTGCTTCTTATCTGGTTGCTAAACAAAGATTCTTAAGTGTCAGTATTAACTGCTACTCGCCATATTTACAGAAAATAAGATTGTATCTTAAAAATAATCATAAAAGGTTTACAGTGTTGTTCAACAGAGAAGTTACGGTTTACTTTGAGGATGTACAGCTTGCTTGCAAACCTATTTGAACAATCATACTTAGGACATACCCTTACGGATATTCCTCCTCGTTATCGTATTGAGAATTATGATATTATGATGATCTTATGATATTTTTTCTTTTTTTTTGAAGTTTGTCAAGATTTTTTCTGGTTAAAATTTTTGTACCTTGTGATATCATTTCCTCGTGTAATCACATCAATGTGGATGTATTTGTTAATAATACATAATAATGGAATTATTACTTTATCTCTATCTAGTGAAGTTTTTCCCGAAATCTGGAAATGTAATTACAATTTTCCGTGACGCTAGCCTGGCAGCAAGCATAGTATTGGAAATTATAGATGTAACGCAAACTTCACATTGTTTGATAAAGTTACTCGTGATTTACTAATTATTAAGGAAGAAATTACTTTTTTGCTTAGAGATTTCGAATCCTTAATGTCTGTAAACTTTGTTATCGTTAACATCAACTTTCTCTAAGTGTGTTGTGGATTAGCTTAAAGTCAAGAAAGATTTACACATATTAGTTAGCAGCGATTTTCGAGAAGGTAAGAATGTGGCTTTCGAACGAAGGCCTAAGCGATTCTGAAATCTGCCATCTTCGTTTTAAATAAAAGTTAAATGAAAAGAGTTGATAAAAAACATCGACGGTTAATTCGCAGCTTTTATTATATGAGAAATACGTCTACAGTTGTTTACATATAACCACGATATCACATTTTGCATTTCATCCTAGGTCTGCAATGATACCGCTTAAGTTGAGATGAGTAAACAAAATCAGAAATATTTAGAGAAAATTAAAAGATTAAACGATTTCACGCCTCGTCGACTTACCAACTTGCATGGATGAAAGCCATCGTGACCCTATCCAAAATTTAAGGAAAAGGAAAATTTAAAGAAAACCAAAAGCTGTTTTCAAAGGAAAATATTATCTTATTGCTATTGCGTTTTATAAATACGTAGATTTGAGTACGTCGACGAAACCGTTATGATGAAACATACTAATAAACCGAATTAAAATAACATTAAGGTTTTTCTTCACCTAGTTATACATCAGAGATCCTTTAAGGAATGCTTGTTTAAAAACATGAGCTGTGTAATTTTATCCTGGATCAATTTAGCATTAAAGTTTCTAAATTGATTCATAAGTGCTAAAAATGTCTAAAAAAATTGTGGTAAGTTCAACAATAAATCCGAAACTTTTACTGCGATTGTAACAAGGACCTAAGAGCAGTAATAGACTTTAATCTTAATTTAATTATCACTGGTTAAACGTGAAAATGGTATCGATTGACGTGCTGATACATTCCTAAAAAAAGAAACTATTCATTTAGACAAAGATCTATTTCACGTGTTTTATATAATATATGTTTTGGGGTGCGCGGTAGTGGTCTGCAAAATGGACTGGACATTCATCGTCTATTTCTTTTAACGATCTAGATGTAATGAATTCGGTTAACGTTTTAACATATGACCATAGGCTAAAGAACGGAAAAGAAAAAGAAGAAACTGCAGGTTGAAATTGTCCACATTTGCTTTACGCACCACTTTACTTTTTACGTGCAAAAATGTGAAACATAGGCCATACCCTAACGAAGTCGAAAGTGAATATATTGTAATTTTTTCAATATTTTGAAATTTTATGCTGATTTATCATAAAACAAACAAGGCAAAATGGGTAAAACTATTTCGTACATTCCTCAAATGAAGATATATTATCTGCCTAAAAATGGGTTAATTCTGAAATGAATACGGTAGACAAGGCGATTACTTTTTTCTTAATAATGCCGGCGATATGTGTATCAAATAAAAGAACTTGGAGAGTGTAATACGAAAGACATAGTGGTGGGTATGCTAGATTAGACCGATTAGATTGTTTTTTGTTAAACTAAAAAAAATAATTTTCAATTTAAAAACTTGCATCTTAATTTAAATGATATCATTTTTAGTTACTTAAAATATAAGAATTTCGATTAAACTTTGAGAGTTATTACATTACTAGGGGTAATTTTTAATGGATTACATAAACGTTATAATCATTCACAGCGATAGATCATTATTTTTAATATATCTGTCAACAACGGACACAATAAGTGTCTATTAATTTTACCCACTGGTTTGTAATTCCGGACTGTAAGTACAAAAAATATTATGGAGTAAAGGCATTATTGAGACTCTGGGTTATTTCTTGTCTATTGATTCCAAACATTCAAAAAATCTCTTTGAACATCAAAACTTTGTACCCGCATTTTCGATAAACCAATTTTGCGGAACGGGTATAAATCGAAGTTATAGTACTAAAATGGATTTATGTCGATGTAACGAATCTGAATTTCGATTTTAAAGACACGATTAGGTATGAAGCATCTAAAATTGCTAGGTAGAAATTTTCCCGATTGAAAATAGTATTGGAATATATTAAAAAAACTGCAAAAGATGCAAAAATGTGCATCAGAATATTTACCTCCAAAAAATTTTTTGCGCCATTGAATAGGTACACTCTAATCCCAAAACCTAAATTTCAACACATATAAAAGATTATTTAGTGTTGGTTTAAGAGTTGTACATATTTCTGTGTTTATTTTTCTATTTTTTTTAAGATGAAATATAGAAAACGCTCCTAGTTTATGTAATTATAAATTTGCACAAATATAAATTTATAAATTGCAAAGATTTGTCGGCCGTTACTTACACAAGTATCACAAATTAAATTTTTTCTTATATGGCCAACCATCCAATGGATGTTGCCTGTTCGCCCAGACATGATGGAGGTTAGGAACGGCTATAAGCAGAGTGAATGGAGGGAGTGTTTATACGTTTGACTTTAAAGTGGAAGCATCAATGGAAAAGACCAATATTGATAGACTATTCCAAAGGCGAGCAGTGCGGTTAGAGAAAGACAACTCACGGTAGCGTATCGTACGATATTGATATTAAAGGTTACCTTATTGGGTTGACTTCACTCTATGATCTGAAGTTCTCGATTTCATGTGTCATTCATCACGTAGTGTTTGTCATGTACTTCGGTGCTGCTAGGTCCCCTGCTAAAAGAGAATGGATGAATAGGAACTTCTGTCACGCGTGGAAGGTCATTGATGATTACAAGGAAAAGCGAAGAAGAAAGAGAAGAGAGGCTTGTGGTACTTCCGCAATTAAGTGGAATTTGCTTAGGACAAATTTGTCGATTATAACTCTTATGGAACTGTTATTTAAGAAGCTTAATATAAATCGACTGAAATTCCGATCGACACCAAATCCAAACAGTTTGGAGAAAAAAACATTATGACACATGCCATAGCTACGCACGCAGAAATATTAAAAGTTTTCCAAAAACTTGCGTTCGCGCACAACGCAACGCAGGTTGTACGTTCCTCCACATTTAAACACAATAATCAACTTTATTTTGACAAATATCACGCTATCAAATATCTCTCAGATATTCAGCGCAACGACCGTACTTTCGTCCAAATGGCAACTAATTGGGATCCACATTTTGGTGAAGTAGGACATTAGGTACCCAGTGAACCAATTTTTCATAAACCCACATTGTCTGCCGCGAATTAGATTATTTGATTGCAGATATCTTTCCAGATAGTAATTGACCATGGTTTCCGTGGTTTGGTTCTTCCAAAACAGATTGTAATCGGATGGTGATTAGCAGGATTAGTGGCGTTACCCTTCGTAGGCACGGGTTAGAAATTAGCAATCTTCTAACAAGTTAGGAAAATGACTGCACGATAGCACCTGCTGAAGAGATTGCCTAATGGCCTGGCAATTATAAGAGCACATTTCTTCATGGCATAAGCCATCTGGCCACGGAATTTACAAAGTATTAAGACTGACAATGACCTTTTTGATGGACCTGTTTCGTAAGAATAAGTGATATTAGAATACTACAAATAAAGTTGAAGTTGGCAGACCATACATATGCATGTATATTTAAAAGTGCGTTAAAAATTCAAAGCTTCTTTTGTACAAATTAACATAAATTGTTATTAAAATTAATCGATTTCATTTTTATTGTAGCTAACATTCACTTGTAAGAGCCATCGATAGTGGATATTTTAATGAGTGGTAAAACCTAGTTTTGTTTTCGTGAAGAAGCGTAAGCAAGAGGTAGATTGTGTTATTAAACATAAATAGGAATGAAATTATAAATCGCTGGGAGTATTGGGCGGTAATTTCATAATTCGGGCTCTTGAAAATGCGTGGAATATAATTAAATGAAAAAAACCTTTCATTCATTTCGATGTCTTTAATATAAGTAATGGGATGAGGCTTGAGCTCTGTATTGCTTCGGTGTTGATTTTATAAGTTTTGGATTAAAAGCACCAAGTGCCGCCTCATTTGTTGAAGAAGGTGGTGGTGGTGCAGTGTGCGAACGAAACCGACTATTTAAGTATTTTTGTACAGAACGTAAATGTATGAATGGTGCGCAAGGTGATTGTCGCAGTGAATTATGATTAAGTGCCCAATATATTATGGGACTTATAGCCGAATACATATAACCTGCAGGTGAATACAAGAATAATATAAATTTTACTGTAGAGATTTGGTTAAGTGATTTTTAATATGTATTTACCTAGTAATAAATTGAAGTATATCGAGGTTTTCGAGCAGTATTCTTTATAGCCTAAGTGTTTGTAAAATACGCAAAAAACATGCGGTGACCAACACGCTATAAATATTAGCGCTGAAGCAATTAACAAGTTTGCCAAATGTCGACGGGACCGTAAAGTTGAGGTCTGAGGTAGAGGTATGCCAGGCGCCGCAACGCGGCCGCCGCGTCTAGATTCCTGACTGTAATGTATACTTTGGCGCTGCGAATGATTACGTATTTCACGCATAGCTCTAAAAAAAGCCACAGTACGAAAGATTACAAAAATTATGTACAAATGAAATTAGTCAAGTGTCATCATTTCTTTATGTCTTGCTTACCTCGGAGATATAGGATTCGATGACTTGACTACGTTGCGATTGCCTAAAATAACTTGCGGATTTAATGATTGCATTTGAATATCAACGCAATTCGACGTGTCATCTGCCGCGCCGGCACCACATGTCGTCTGTTTAGCATTGGCAATTCCCGTTACTATCACCATATGCGTTTGACGACGTAATATGGGCATTGGAAGTGGCAGCTCACCATGCGCTGCCCGAGCAGTCAATGAAAGTGCACACAATTTCCTCCTCACACCGTAGTGATTCAGCAAAACTCCCAAGCCGGGCAGCACGAACACAATTAGTGTGTGAAATATAATGAACGTGACAAACAATGAACCGGTATTCCATTCCGAATGACAATTGCTAATGCCGATGTTTGGGCGGTCTGACGATATAGTGTATGTGCTATTTCTATAAGCTGCTAATTGCTTTGGTGTCTGCTTGATAACAATTGTTTTGGCAAAGATCTTATAGGCAAATAGAAATGGCGTGCTAACAAGGGCTGACGTTAGCCATGAAAACAAGGCAAACGAGAGATGTAAGTAGCGTCGTTGACGCAGCTGAGCTAAGCGTGGATGTTTAACGGTAGCGTAACGATCCAACGACAATAGAAAGAATGACAACGTGCTGGCTGCAACAGGCATGAGCTTTTGATAAAAAATGAAACGATAAGATGGTTGACGTCACAAATATGTATACAAATGCTAAGAACAGCTGTTGTATATGTACATACCTGGACAAAATTTATAATCTTACAGATCACTAACGTTAATGAATTAGTTTTTCCATTCATGGCTAAGTTGAGTAACGTCATTGGAGCTGAAATGCCTGTGACTAATAAATCAGCTAAGCAGACGGCCAGTAATAAAGGATTTCGAAGTCGAACAGAGTGGGCTGAGCACAATGTTAAGACCAGACTGGCATTACCTAAGACACCGAATATCACTACTAGGCCATATAAGAAAGCCATAAACATCAAAGTAAGCGATGATATGTTATTAAGATCAGTTGTGACATCGTACGGATTGACGAAAGTTTCATTACGCCAAGCTATATATTCCCACGGACGGCTTGAAGCTTCTGCAATTGACGTCGTCGTCAACTCTGTACCGCTCTCATTACTTGTCGTTATTAGTAACGACAAAGGTGACGCCAACGCTAGATCCGGATCAAGTGTAGGGTTGTGATAAATATTACGACCTAAAGGGATTAATTGTTGTTGTGTAAAATGGTGATGATAGGTATTTTGCCACCATCGTTGTAGATTGTTGTTATTCATTGCATAACCACCTTCTTCTTTGTTATTGTACGATGTCGTTCTTTTATCGGCAAGTTCATTTCTAGCACATATTGAAAGTGACGTTAGAAGAAAAACGAAGAAATGAATTGAAAAACTAATTTACTACTATTATTATAATTAATTTTTTCTAGCATCTATGAGTACCGGCTTTTGTTGAAAACCCTACCGCACGTGATGTTTGTATCTACGGCCATTGATTTGTTATTCGAGATCCTTTGTCTACTCGGCCACTTAGGCCGATAAAAGCTCCTTTAATTACAGGCATTGAATAACCCTTTAATAACATGACCATCTACATGTTCGTCGTTATAGTCCCTCTCATATATACATCCTCTTTGGGTGTTTGCGGAAATGTACCAACGTTCATTCACGATAAAAGAACCGCAGCAAAATAAGAATAACAATGGAAAAAATTTAACTTTATAATTGATTTGTGGTTCTCAGTTAGCTTTGTTGCTGTTATTTGGTCCGGCATCTACTATAATATCTACTATAATATTAAAGAAAGTATGGAAATCAATTTATATCCTTCCAATTAGTATACAACAAAAAATAAGCTAAAAGAAAAGCATGATAAATGATTTCCCGGACGTCAAGAGCAACGAAGAAAAGACGCATCAAATTTTTTTATTTTATAAGTACGTCAAAGTTAGAAGGGTTGTCAACCGTTGTGTGCAGTTACACAGAGTATTTGGATTGTAACGAATTTCTTCTTACAGACAACAAATAAAAGATAGTTTGGAAGACTTAAGTCCCGTTAACGACTACATCTGGCCAAGTAGGCGTAAGCCGGGTCGTCATTGGAAAAATTGTATCATTTCAAACAACACCAAAGTGCGTACGCTTTCGAAAGCAAAAGAATTGGATTTTGTGCTGATTACTCATAAGACAAGATAAGAAAGCGATAAATATTTCCATATTTACTTTATGGATGATCCTACTGTACCTAATTAAAAATTGTAAGAAATCGGAAAATCGAACTGACATTTTTCCGTTGTGTTTCTGCTAAGCGAAAGAGGGTGAATAAAATATTCGGTCATAAGCGAAAATTATTTGTGATCTGTTTTGTTTACTGTCGTCAGATTAAATTTGAAAAGTCTTAAACGGATGCATAGTTTCTATTTAATCAGTACAACTGTAAAAATTAATTATTTACACTTAGTTTGTCTTGCGCAATGTTGATATAGATTCGTTTGACTATTATATTATATGTGGCTTTGTTTATTAGGATCATTGCAGCTAAGATCTTAAACAGATAATCCAATCACTAAAGCTGATAAACTCAATTTCAAAAAAGCTAACGCAAAGAAGAGTTTGCGCATAAATCATGCAATCAGTTGAAAAAAATAAAAGAGGCAAGGCGGATAAAGTAAGTAAACATAGTAGTGAAAGTTCTAGATATCAACGCATTGGAGTGGCAGCCAACAGCTATAAAAGCAACGCGCAAACAACGATCTTTGTTTTAATTGTTAAGCAGCAGTCAAACCAACAGGTAAGTCAAGAACCCCGTAAGTAATAATAGTTTGTCGTCCTGTCCGTCCGAAACGAGGTCCTTAAGATAGCAGCGTGCTCTTGCAACATTATCTTAGAGACTCTCAGCCCGACAGGATTCCCTCCTAAGCTTGCAGAACCTAGTAGTCCGCTACTTTCGGAACGGGGCTTTTAAGGTCACAGGAACCTTACACTTTTAGAGAGCCGGTAGACCACTGAACCACTTAAAATTAACAGATGATACACGTAACTGTTTCACTTTCGCAACACAGTCTCAAGCGGGTCATGTTTTTTCATTAAAGAAACAAACGAGACTGCCCACTAAATACGTGTTGATTTTTTTCTTTCCTTACGAAGTAACTTCGCAAATAAAGCCATTTTGTACTCTTCTTGAATTCCGCGAATATACGTGCGATTTAACACAAAAATACGAAGGTTCCGTTAATTTACCGAATACATTTCTTGGAACAGCCCTGAGCGAAACCACCACTGTAAACTGCCCCGTTATGTACTTTTGGAAGCTTATGTAGTTGCTTTATGTAAGTGCCTTTGTTTATGAAACACAACAGCAAGGAGAATAAAAACTGAAATGCTTGCATGCGTGTAGTCATCTTAAATGTATTTGTCGTCTGGCTAACTATAAATGGCAAATATGACAGTATTCTTCGTACAATGGTCTGCCAATCTACGGGGGATTCATATAGTTTAACGTTAGGTATGTTACAAGACGTGTTCTTCGAAGAGAATGTAAGTAGTATTTTAGGGAGCTTGATAAAATAGTGAGGCCGTCAATTGTAAGTGCTATCTTTAAGCTATACCCAACATCGCTTCGATGAAGCCAAATATTCATGGCGACCTCATATGGGGGATCAGATGAGCGTAGCGTATTATGGTCTATTCCAACAAGATAAAACCATCGTTATGGAAAGCGCCGGCAACGAGTAATGCAATCAGCACAAAACGAAAAATTGGGCTTTCAGTACGAAGAAATTGAAGCTCATATAGCTTAGCACAATTTATTGATTTTGTTCTTAAACGCATCTTAACGTTCTCATGGTCTAAACGAATAGGGTATTGATGGTTTCATATTTTCTAATGAACCATTGCAGATTCTTTCGTTTTTTGTTATATATATTTAATGTGAAAGATTAAAGGCGACATTTTTTATTGTCACAAACAGCTGATATTAAACAAATAGGTCTTTACATATATATTAGTTTGGGGAAAAAGAAATCCATTATTTTTTTGGTAGATGGCTGCACTGATAGATTTCTCGTAAAGTATCGATCAAACAATTTTGTATTTATGCTCGTTGGAAAGGCGACATTTCGCAGTAAAAAAATTCTTTTGCTGTTTTTTGTTTGGTGCATTCAGTTGTGAGTTACAGCGTGTTAAAAATGGAAGTGAACAAAGAGAAAATTCGGTACATTTTACAGTTTTTCTTTGACAAAGGCGAAAATGCGAGCCAAGCGGCTAAAATTGTGAATGGTGTTTATGGTTCCGATACTGTAACAGCCAATTATGTGCAATTTTGGTTTCGTAGATTCCGTTCAGGAATTTTTGATGTTAAAGATGCACCTCGCACAGGTAGGCCGGTCGTCGAAAATGTCGATAAAATCGGAGAAATGATCGAAGTTGACCGGCATGTTAGCAGTCGTAACATCGCCCAGGAGCTAAAAATCGACCATAAAACAGTTTTAAACCATTTACACAAAGTTGGATTCAAAAAGAAGCTCGATGTTTGGGTGCCACACCAATTAACAGAAAAAAACATGATGGATCGAATTTCCATCTGCGAAGCCTTGGCCAAACGGAATGAGCTAGACCCATTTCTTAAAGGGATTGTGACTGGAGATGAGAAATGGATTACATACGATAACCCTGTGCGAAAACGATCGTGGTCAAAGAGCCGTGAAGCACCTCAACCGGTGGTCAAACCAGGACTAACGGCCAGGAAGGTTTTGCTATGCATTTGGTGGGACTGGAAGGGGATTATTTATTATGAATTGCTTCCATATGGCCAATCGCTAAATTCTGATCTCTACTGTCAACAACTGGACCGTTTGAAGATAGCGATTGACCAGAAACGGCCAGAATTGGCCAACAGGAGAGGTGTCGTGTTCCACGAGGACAACGCTAGGTCACACGCATCTACAGTGACTCGCCAGAAACTTCGGGAGCTTGGTTGGGAAGTTTTAATGCATCCGCCATACAGTCCGGACTTGGCACTAAGCGATTATCATCTTTTTCTTGCATTGCAAAATTTCTTTAATGATAAAAAATTGGAATCTAGGGAGGATTGTGAAAATCGACTACTAGAGTTTTTTGCAAATAGAGACCAGGACTTCTATGAGAGAGGCATTTTGAAGTTACCTTTAAAATGGCAACAAATCGTAACAACAAAACGGTGCATATTTGACCCAAATCGGACAATCCGAAGCATGTTAAATAAAGTCCTGAAGTTCATATAGAAATAATGGATTTCTTGTTCCCCAAACCCATATTTTGTTCCTAGATCCAGGTAAGTATATCTAGAGGATTCTAATCCTTCTAGGGATATAGCAATCATAATATCTTACACATAAATGCCAAAATTTGGCTATTACGCCACATGTCCAACGCCAAGGTCTGCAAACAGTTAAAATCCCCAAAATTCATATATACCGTTTAATATCAGTAATTTGCAATCTGTAATAGAATGCGATCAAAAAAAGTTCTTGCAACTATTGAACAAGGCTATTTATCCGTTTGGAATCATAATTGTACCAATTAGCCCTTTGACAAACCCACAAGTGCTGCAAAATTTTTGCGAAAACTGAATTGATTCATATCCAAAGCCAATACAAGCTTTTTGTTATTTCATCATTAAACGCGTCACAATAGCATATTAATTTTTCATTCATTTGCAAAGCATAGCCATCGAAAAGCCTATGAAGCATGCGCATCCCTTTGTCCAGAGCGATACATTATTTACATTCAGCGGAAACTGTCTTTTCCTACAAAGACATTTGTCAAAGACATAGTCACACGTCTTACACTTGTTTTACACGAAAATCTATAGCTGAACAGCTAAATTCGTAATATATACAAAAAACCTTCATCACAAACTTTTTTAGCAGTATTTGTACTCGTTCGATACGATGTCAATCTCACATCAAAAAATACGAATACATGTTCTATTAATACCCTCTCATAATACGATAAAATTTGAATATTTTTTTCAAAATGTTTCTATGAAATTAATACAAATTAGCGAATTTTATTTAAAAAATATATTTTATTAAAAATTTGCAACAATTGAATATATGAAATATGAAAATATGTGCTAATGAAATATGTGTCAAACCATATCATAAGATAATATGATAAAATTTGAATAATTGCAATTAATATTAAAATGTTTATATTAATATTTTTATTAATTTTAATGAATATTTGTTTATTAATATATGTATTGATATTAATTAAAAATATAAATATCGCTATTTTAGCAACAACTAAATATTGTTGAAAAAGTTTTTCATGTCCTGCAATCCGCGGGGTCTGCTT